TGCTTGCAAGGAGAGCCGCGGCAGCGAACGCCATAAGGACGGAGCATGTGAAACAGGGTTTATGTTACTGTTATTGGTGAGTGTATATAAGGTTCCTTTTTAATATTGATGAGTGTATGTACCTGGTGTCCTTTTGGGGGTACAAGAAATATATACCCTACATCATGTGCGAGGTTCATGTTTCAGCAGCTAACGCTCCGGTTCACCACCCCCCAGTGAGTTTTTTTTTTCGTGAGGCCCTTAAACGCAAACTGGCTGCGTCGGATTGAAAGCAGCCTTGTTCATCCGCTTCCCCTTGTCATTGCTGGAAAGGAAGCTTCGATTATCGATGTCCAGCAGGAGATCGACAGAGTTAGTGCCGTTCTTAGAACTTGGCAGCCCAGCGATACCCTTTTTACCCTTTTTTTTGTTTATGGTTTCCCTTATAAAAACAGCCAACCCAAAAAAGAGTGCCCTTATCATAAAAGGGTATGCTGGGCTACCATGAGAAGCATGCGGCAGGATGGAGAGTTGGCTTGCAGTGCAGCAGAGCGGATGCATGTGTGCACGCTCATGTTGAGCATCGTGGCGGATGTTGCTGATTGACACATCTTTCCTCTGTTGATTTGTTCTTACACGAGTTGTCTCAAGGCTCGAAGCCAAGACTCTTCCGGACGCAAAGTGAGAAGGAGCACAGTCGGTGCAATCACGCGGTGTGGAAGAATCATGGAGAGATGCCTCTGTGTGAAGTAATCTAATGCCAGCAAGAAACATCCGACCCCTGCGGTGGCCTCTTGATCTTGGGTGTCGCACATGCTCTATCTATCTTCAGTTACCGTCCAGGAGGAGGCCATGAAGCGTGCTGCCTCTGCCCGGGAGGGGGGACTGGACCTCGTGACAGGCTGGCGAACATACCTCACTTCACTTTGTTGTGGTACTTCCTTGGTTCTCTGGGTTCTATGCAGCAAAAGCTCATCATAATCTCTGAGGTTTGAGCGTTCCTGCTGGGTAGCTGAAACGCGCATTCTGAAATCGCGAAGGCTTCCGAAGGTGAGGCACAAAGATGCTTTTGTGTACCGTAGCGTTAAAGTGCTTAGACTCAGTGACGGCCATTGTCATAACAGGTCCTTTGGTCTTGTCTCCGCACGCACTCATCCCTGTTACCGAACTGGCTATATGTTCCCAAAACAGGGGTAGCCCTTTCTACCCCAAATAGAACAGAATCCCCTTCAAGGAACCACCCGAAAAGGGTCCCTTTTTTTTTTCGGAACTGGCCATATGGTCGGTCAAAGACTCGCCCGCGACTGCACCCTCCGGGATCTTTATCCCTGGCAAGCACGTTCTTGCAGGCCATAGAGGCAGCCAAAACGTTTCGTCGGGACATGCAAGTCCTCACACATGAGCTGCGGTTTTTTCGGGCGCTTCTTGAGAGTTAGTTTAGTACGGAAATCTATTTTGGGTTTGTGCTCAGAATGAGCTCCGCGCTGTGGCCGCGGAAGCTCGCGGAAGCTCCGTCTTAAGCAAAACTTATGAACTTTTCAGCCCCAAACAGCCGCTGAGCATCGGTCCCTGGTGCCTGGCCGGTTTAGGGTTTAGGGTTTAGGGTTTAGGGTTTAGGGTTTAGGGTTTAGGGTTTAGGGTTTAGGGTTTAGGGTTTAGGGTTTAGGGTTTTGGGCTACGCTTCAAAAGTACCGCGAACCTTGCAGCAACCACCTACAGAGCAGCCCCGCGCCCCTTCTTCTAGTGCAATGGTGTTTGGATGGGAGGCGGGCGCGGGAAATCCGCGGAAGCTCCGCGGAAGCTCCGCGGAAGCTCCGCGGAAGGATGGGGTCCATTCTGGAGTAGTAGGCTTCCGCTTCCGCTTCGTGTAGCCTTGCTTGTGAAACACCATCTTCGACATGACAACGTAGTTCTCCGTTCAACAGCAGCAAAACGATGAACCCTACACACCTGTGTCGTCTACAGCTTTCATTGTTTTCTTGTGCGGTTCTGTTTTCTTTCTACGTGGTGTGGGCCGCAGACTTCCTACGCCATGTGCTTGTTCGGTTTCAACATCGACTGTCCTTCCGGAACTTCATGGGACACGTGCATAAGACTACAAACGTACTGCGCGGAAGGAACTGTACGAATTCACACGAAAATGGCTCCGCGGAAGGGTATAGCTGTAAAAACATGCCCCGCGGAAGCTACCTTTCGAGGCGCGGAAGGTCCGCGGAAGGGTTCCGCGGAAGGGAAATAGATTTTCACTAAACACATCGTCGAATAAAAACCATGGCTCGCATATTCTGGCACGCGTCGGGGAGATTCTTCATTTGCGGCGGGAATCCAGCAAGAGCCAAGCGATCATTTCTGGCAGCTACATGTGTGTCTTTTCGGGGAAGCCCTGTACGGTTGCCTTGCCAAGACATGTCAAATTCCTTACCGTGGCAGGCTACTGGAGGAGGGCTAGTTTCTCCATACTAAAGTGCTTTCAAGTGCCAGTTGTGCAACAGGAGGGCATGTTCGTCGTACTAGAGTTCTTTGAGTAAGGCAACATTGTACTCGTACCACACTCCGAAATCATCCAACAGCCTCGCTGTTCAGCAAATAACCCATGTCGAATTTGGGAACTCTGAACACAGCTACACTCTGGAGCTTGATAGTTACCCTAGGGCTCCAAGTATATGAATTATATCGACATTGAGGTTTAAAGTCTGTAAATAATACCTACTTTGGGCCATTTGGAGCCTTAGGGTTATGACTCTGCCAGGCACCAGCACGGACGAAGCCGACTCCGGCACGCTCCCCGACGGAATGCTGACAGGAGGGCAGCTGAGCGGCATTTTGCTTTGTGGTGCTTTACCGTAACTTTAGATCTTTAGCCTTTTTGGGCTTGTTGGGTTTCTTAACAAGGCAGCTAAAAAATTAATTTATAGCTACCCTCCTAAGTGCAGCCAAGTTTGGAGCCGATGAAGAAGCAGTGTACCGTTTCGACCGTTTTTCGAAGGCCTTGGGCATGCGCGCAAAAATGCTGAGTGGCTTTTGAGTCGGGTCTCAATCGATCGAGGCGCATTTTTAGCCGCTCCTCCGTAGCTATATAGAGCTTGCCTTCAAGCCTCCAGCTGGTGGTCTCTGATATACGGGTCGGAATAATTTCTAATAGTATTCCCTTAGACTCCCTTTATATCTATACTATAGCTAAAGTAACCCCCAGAAACCCTGTTCGAATTACTAAGGCCCCTATGTTAACAATGGAGGACAGTTTCCCATGCAGCCCTGTCTCCGGGGTTTTGTGGCCACAAGCTACCAGTTCCTTAAGAACCCCGAAAAAATATTCTTCCTTATTAAGGGTAATATAGGGATCATCATGTTTAATCTTTTGGGGTTCTTAAGCAAATATAGAGATTCCCTAAACCCTAAACCCTAAACCCTAAACCCTAAACCCTAAACCCTAAACCCTAAACCCTAAACCCTAAACCCTAAACCCTAAACCCTGACTTTTGGGGGTTCTTAGGCAAATAGTGGCAAGGTCCACTCGACGGAGCGTGCGCAAGGCAAGCTTGTCCTGGGAGGAGATGACCTGGAGGGAACCTGGGTAGCCCAGTGGTACCCTTTACCCTTTTTTTTAGGGTTTAGGGTTTAGGGTTTAGGGTTTAGGGTTTAAGGGTTTAGGGTTTAGGGTTCTGGGTTCCCTTCTAAAATAACCAACCCAAAAAAAGGGTGCCCTGATTGTAATATGGTTACTGGTCTGGGCTACCAAGGAAAAGTTGCGACACTGTGTGGCGTCGGCGACGCCTGCCTGCAACTCCACAAATCCGTGTAGCCGTTTGCCGCGACTGCAACGTACGCATCATGCTACACCGCATCACATAACTTGTATGTCCGGCACCTCCATGCTAGAGGCCTTTTGAGTTGTTCTTCTCGGTCTGCATCGTCGCGAATGCTGTGGAGCTGGGTGTGGATGTCCAGTACTTCTCCCACTACCGAGGCTTTGGGATTTCTTCACGGACATTTGCTGCACTTTCCTGTATGTCCTGTGTTCTTTGAGTGGACCGCGCTTCCTCGAAGAAGCGATGAGAAGTTTTACGGCTAGGCAACCCAGGCATCAATCCAATCAACACACGATCCCAGATGTGCGGCGATTGCAAGGATTAGCTAGGCGGACCAGAATTCTTTCCAAGTCTGAATCTGCACGGACACACACACACACACACACAAACATGCGCGCAAATTCTCACACGTAACTCTTTGAGCCCTGCTTCAGGCGTATCCCCCGTCGCACTGGAGGCCTTTCTGAGAAGAGAATCTGCAAATCCAAGGTCAGCAACGGTCACGTGGTAAACTCTGGCTTAGCTTAGCTTTGTGTGCACGGAGTTAGTCGAAGGCACTTAGCAGCTTGCAGCTCTGCACAATAAAGGAAGCTTCAAGGGTCCCTAAACCCTAAACCCTAAACCCTAAACCCTAAACCCTAAACCCTAAACCCTAAACCCTAAACCCTAAACCCTAAACCCTAAACCCTAAACCCTAACTGCCATCAGCGCGACTCTTCAGGTGATTGGCCACCTCTTCACCGCGCTGTTCGCAGTGCCCGCACTTACGTATTTCATGATGTCAGTAGGATCAGTGGCAGGAGGCTTGCCAGATAGCTGAATTTGAAAGACAATGTGCCTTATGTCTCCAAGACTTCTTCCTTGCCAATGCATTTCTCAGGTGGAGCTACTTCTCAGAATGGCCGCTTATGGCACTGCCCTTAGCCTGGCAGCTATCTTCAAAGCACAGCTGTGCACAGAGGACGATGGTTGCCGTTTTTTTGGGGGGGATCAGATGCTGCTGAGTGCTTGGCTTTGTCTGCTCCCTGAGGCAAAGCCTTCTTTACGGAGCCGAAGAATCTTGCTTGGAACATCATGGATGTCATCATCGTCACTAGCGCTTTCGTAGAAATCGTTGTGCAGGCAGGGTGGGTTTAAAACTACTTTGCCCATTCATGTGGGGACGCACATGCCGCTTTGCTAGCCCAAGCTCCCTCATTACACCCTATCGGCCTGTATACTGCGGAGCGAGCGTTGATCAAGATTAGTTTCCGGATGTCAGTCATCACTGACTTTCTTAACTTCCGTTGATCGTGAGTTTCGGCTCGGCACATCCAGTGTCCACTGACTTGAGAACGGTCCTCAACCCAAAAAGGGAGCAGTTACCAGCACGAATATGAGCTTTCTCGGACTGAGTCCGGAAAAACCCGAGGCTCGGGAATCCGCGTGATCCGTGGACTGCGTAATAGTTCCAATGCTCATGTAAAGTAAACCCTTACCTGGCTTGCTGGTCAGTAGGCATTCACTTTTGACCCCAACAAAACCACCAACCGAAGAACAATGCAGTGCCCGGACTCTCTCAACTGGAAGGTTACCTAGGAATGCCCGGGTCGGAAACTCAGACCATTGCCTTTCTTATCAAGCGTTTTCTTAAGCAGCGCCTCACATGTACAGTACACACTTGTGCACTACTCAACCTTGTCCCAAAGTTGTTTGCTCGTGGAGGTTGCTTTGGACGTATTGAACCAGGCATGCGGCGGGCATCGATTTTTTTTGGCTTGGGTTGGGCCTGGTGGTTTAGGGTTTAGGGTTTAGGGTTTAGGGTATGTCATGATCTCGGGGAAGCATGTCTGCAGTGAACGCAGGATTCGCCTCCTGGTGTGTCTACCCTGACGAACATGCGCGTGCTGCGGATCATCAGAATAACCAGACTGGTCCGGCTGACCCGCATCGCTCGCATCACGCGTGCCTCGTCTGGAGAATGCCGTGGCGCACCGCGAGTTCTGAAAGTGGAGGGTTTAGGGTTTAGGGTTTAGGGTTTAGGGTTTAGGGTTTAGGGTTTAGGGTTTAGGGTTTAGGGTTTAGGGAGGATAGCAGAGTGCGGAACCGACCCTCAAGCTCACTGCAACCGGGTGAGGGGGTTGGGGGCTCGGGGCATGTACATGGTTCATTGGGTAGTCACATGTAGTCAGCATACCACAGAGGTAGATTGCGTGGAGCTACACCAGCTACCTACGCAACATTTAGATTACCACCATGAGGAGGGTCACGGTTGCCCATGCCACTCTGGCAGAAGCGCCGGCTTTGCCTGGAAAGCAGCCGGAGGTTGCAATTCCCTCTCTTTCCTCACTGCATGTTTAAAGCGGCCATTATACGAGCCCAAGCAAGGTGAGCAATGTGAGCGGAAGGACCCGAAATGATCCGAAGTCAGAGCCCAGTTGCCTCAAAGCCTAAGCTGGCCAAGGCTTCATCAAGGCGCTAAGAACATTGGTGACCTCCATTGTCTTCACGCTCAAGTCGCTGGTTTGGGCACTGGTTCTTCTGTCTTTAATCATCTATGGGCTGCTCGGACTGCCTCACTTGAAGTTGCCTGTGTGGCTTCCGTCGGCTTGCAGTAGCTCATTTTGGTGCTGAGAGACCGAGACTGACAGTTGAAGGTTTGGAATTGTCTTCACGCAAGCAGCGACTCTGTACCTCCTGGATCACGGTGGCTTGGTGCTGACTGCTTTGTGCGAAGGCCCCGGTGTCTGTAGTTGCTGGCAGTTTTGGAGGATTCTGTATGGTCAACGTCTCAACCTTGGAGGTGCCTAGTCTTCCGAACCCACTGAGGTGCTGCGGACGACGCGGACCCTACTCTGATAGCCATAGACGAGTACTGGCATGATCTCCCCGCCTCGATGCTTACGTTGTTCATGCTCTGCGGCAGCAAGAAACGGGTAGAGGGGGGCGTATAGGGCTTGAGGAAACCGAACATCATCACCTGCGCTTGCACATCAGTTTAGCACAGAAATGCAGGGCGCAGTAGCTTGGTTTCGTGGCGAGTGCACCTGCATCAGTGTTCTGGGCTCCTGCTTCCAGCTGCATAAATACAAGTGGCCACCTGCACGTAATTGCCGCACTTCACAGTAGCTGCCAGATCGGTGTAATGGCAAGAAAGTACTGGTTCACATTGCAAGGGCTGATGCGTTTAGCCAGACTTTAAACCCTAAACCCTAAACCCTAAACTCCAAGGGCAATCTGCGGCGGGGTGAGCTGGGAGAATGCATTGAGACCGATGCTGGTCATCTCTGAATGGTGTGCTGCCTGGCTGCTCGTGGTATCTGCTTTATTCGCTGTAAGGATGAACAGCAGTATCTTGTTCGTAGCAGAAAGTACGCGAGCCGAAGCACTGTTCATAACCCAGACATAGGCCGAAAATAGCACAAGCGTGCTGCTGCACAGATATATACGCTTGTCCGATACCGGTAAGGCAAGCATGTGTATAACATCACGAGTTGGGTGAACCGCAGTTTGTCCCCACTCGAGCTCTGCAGTTTTGCCTTTGCCCCCGCTTTAACGGGGGATTGGCGCAATGTCGACTCTGGCCGCAATGAAAACTGTTGACAGCCTGGGAGGAAAACGTCCGCTTGGCCTGGGGCGGAGAAGACGCATTTCAGTACCGGGACCCCTAAACCCTAAACCCTAAACCCTAAAATTCTCTTGCAATGCGGCTGCGTGGTCTCGTTGCTTTGGTGTCGACTTGGGCTGCAATCACGTAGCGGTTTGAAAAAGTGACGACGTTTCTCTTCCCAACTTGGACGTCTTGGCCCCGACCCGCTGCCTTCTGAAAGTGCTGTTCTCCCTGGACGGCCGCAGTGATGTACGTGGGTTGATTCGAGCAGCAGCAGCAGCAGCGGCAGCAGCCGTTTTTGAGAGGCAGCCTATGACAGCCCGATTATGGATACCCCGCCCGGTATCCCCACTGTCATGATGCATCTGGGATCATCTGGGCGTATGTGGCGCAAGTTCGTCGCTTACGTCTGTTCCCAGCATGAGGATGTACAGACACTTTTTGGACCCTACCGGTGGCCCGACCGACGTCTCCGTGGAGGCCGTTGGGGTCTGCGCGTTAATTACGATCAAGATCGATCAAGGGTGTGAAGACTAGACTTGCCAGCGACAAGAGGCTGAACACAGCCATTGAGGGGCTGTCTCTGGTCCCCGGACGCACAGGGGCAACCTGTTCTTAATAACTGCAGCTTCACGCGACCCCCTCACTTTACACTGCAAGTGGAAACTTGATGACTTTCCGCTCATGCGTCTCCTGCCGATGGCCCCAGCCATAAGGGCAAATGCCAATGGCTCCGGCTCTTTCCGCAGGATCTTTCTCCAGAAGACTTTTTCCCGAAAGCACGGCGAAGGCATTTCAGCGGAGGTGGTCTTCGGGAAGAATTTTCTTTATCGATGATGCATGGATGGATTACGTGATGGATGATGAATGGATGGATGGTGTGATGGATTTCGTGGCTTTCCTCTTAAAGTTACTACTCGTACAATTTAAACACGGGGTAGGGTTGGCGGGACTCGCTGCACTTGCCCAAAAGTCGCGCTCGCAAGTGGGAGGCGTTCGCATTTTCGTCCACGAATGACAACCCTCTGCGTGGCCGCGGGGTGTCGCGAAGCTGGCGAGTGGGAGGCGTTCGCGTTTTCGTCCGCGAACGACAACCCTCTCGCTGTCCTTGGCGCCTCTGGCTGTCCTTGGCGCGTCGTTGCGCTGGCGCGTGAGAGGTGTTCGCGTTGTCGTCCGCAAACATGATGCGTGTTCGCGTGGTGTCGCGACGTGGTTTTCGTGGAGGATGACGCGTGCATGGATGCCGTCAAGGATTTCTTAAGTTAGTAATGTCTTAAGCAATCACGGCTCTAAAATGCTTTCGGAACAACCGTTGTCCAGTTTTAAAACTCGGCAGCGGGCCGGCCACGCAAACCCGTGCCCAAAAGCAGACCTTCCCCAGCGTAATACAATTTGGATTGGGTCAGCTCCCATACAGGACGCTGCAGCAAGGGACTTTCCAACCCACCAAGCAGAGAACATCTTTGCTAAGTTGCACAATGGAACGCACACTTTAGCCGCACGCACCTTATCGTGTGGTCGTGCTTAAGTAAGCCTGTGGGCATCATGTTCATCCACTACAGGCAACCTTTGCTTGTTTTGCTGTATATGTTGCTGGCTAAACGAGAACGGTGGGGTGTTTGTAACTTTTGCTCCAGTATGATGAGAGTTTCGCTTTGGGAGTTAGAAGCAGGTAGATGCACAGTGCACACTGTCGCGGGTTTTTGTTGCAAATGCACCCTAAAGCCTAAACCCTAAAACCTCAACCCGAATTGCTCAGCCAAGGCCTTCCTGTTTCTGTTTTATATCAGTTTCAGTTATTTCGCCGTGCTCAATGTGGCCGGGTGCTCAGATATTTGTGACAAGTCTTCTTGCACGTGGGCACAAGTATTGCATGGCGTGTCCTGGATATATTTTGTCCACGCTGCTTGGTTTCTATTCCTTGGCACAGCTACATCCGCCACCTACGTGTGACATCAACATGGCAAGTTTTCAGGTCACTGGCGTTTTCTGTCAAAGTGCTATAGAGAGCGCCCAGAGCGACCACGCCGCGGACTCAGAAACAATGGCAGAGCAAAACATACTTTTCTTCTTCAACTTGCAGGAAAGCTGCTCGATGTAAGACTTGCAGTTTTTGTCGTCCACAGCAGATGGTGAAATTTGCTAATGCTCGGCTTTTGCGTTCAGGAGATGATCATGCAAAACATAATTCAAAACAAGGAGGCGCCGTGGCTGCAAGTATGGAAGCAAGGCAAGGGGATGCGAGAGTGCCACTTTCCAAACATATCCAAACATACATTCACGTCGAAGGACAGTATGCCGCCCATTGCAAGGACATAGCCCTACATGTTTCAAAACATGCTTCAAGAACTCGTTGCACTTGCTTGTGCATGCGCAGGCTTTCCCGCTTTGCTGCGTTTGTCACGTTGGCCCCCTTCCGCTTGCAAATGTGCTGAGGCCCACATACGGAAGGTAAGGTCTCTCTTCTCCAATTTGGATGCCGATGAATCGGGCTACATCAGCCTGGTCGAGCTGGAGGAGAACATGCACAACAAATCCGCGCCCTGACCGGAGCCAGCAAACACACACTTGAAGCCTGGTTTCTGAACCCTAGAACCTGAACCCCAAGCCCGAAACCCCAAACCCCGAAACTCTAAACCGGGTTTCGGATTTGATGTTGCGTTGAGATGCGAGAAATTCGCAGGAGGGCGGGGAAGTCTGCATTCCGAGGTCAAGACGTACTTCGAAGCACTGGAGTTGGACGTTTCTGATGCGTGTGGCACTTAACCCTCCTGGGTTCTTAGGGAATGAGGGAATGAGGGCCCTATGTATACCCTTAAAGGAAACATGCATATTATATATATATATATATATGGGGTACCTCATTCCCTCATTTCATACGAAGAACCAGCCAGTTACAACGACAGCAGGGGCAGCATGCTCAGCGGCCCTTGAGACAGAGCTCCCTTGCACGAGCCTCTGTCCAAGGTGGACATTCTTCAAGCTGTGCCTGGGCCGGTTTAATATTTAGGGATGAGGGTTCTGTGGAGCTAAACCCCAAACCCATCCCAAAAACCCTAAACCCTAAACCAGTTGGGGCTTGAATTTTGCCGGGAGCCAAAAATGGCCAAAAGCCGCCAGGCTCGATACTGACGGCGGTGCCGCCATCGAGATCGAAGAGCTGCCTGGCGTGGGGTTTAGGGTTTAGGGTTTAGGGTTTAGGGTTTAGGGTTTAGGGTTTAGGGTTTAGGGTTTAGGGTTTAGAAGGTTTAGAAGGTTTATAGGGTTTAGAGGGTTCAGAGGGTTTAGAGGGTTTAGAAGGTTTAGAAGGTTTAGAGGGTTTAGAGGGTTTATAGGAGTTAGAGGGTTTAGAGGGTTTAGAGGGTTTATGGGGTTTATAGGGTTTAGAGGGTTTATAGGGTTTAGAGGGTTTAGAGGGTTTATGGGGTTTATGGGGTTTATGGGGTTTATAGGGTTTAGGGTTCAGGTTTGTTGAGCTTTGTGCTCGTGCACGATGCGTTGGCAGTCGTTGCAGGGTATCATGGCTGTATCTGTTTCGGTGCGCTCAGGTTCTTGCTGGGATGCTGCATGGCTGGATTCTATTGTGCGCGGAATGAGCGCCGCATCAGTGCGCAGCAAAGCAAAGGCAGTACCCTTCTACTCTTGGTAGAAATCTATACAAGCCAGCCATCACAGTTGCCAAGAGCCTACCAAGAACCAAAGAAAGTGTTGAGTCCATCCATCATGTTGAAACACTTCTGCGCTGATCTCTTGATCTTCGAAGGCACATCTTGATGCACTTGCGTAAGAGGACTGTCCCAAACCCGTTTTGGGGAGAGTGCTGAAACCGTTCAGCGCGACTGTACATCAAGCCAAGGATAGGGTTAGGGTACAGGAACCCTAAACCCTAAACCCTAAACCCTAAACCCTAAACCCTATTGGCAGCTTGATCTGAGAGGCCCTTGTTGGGCTTTGCGCGTGCGTTTGAAGGTTCCAAGCCCAAACCCCGAACCCTACGAACCCTAGTTGCACGCTCTAAGAAACACAAGACCCTCGAGGCCCTGTCTCTGAGCCCTGCAGACCCTAAGTGGGGGTTTGCGAAGGTTTGCGATATTAGGGGTACCTTACTGGGGTTCTTGCTATCAGGGAATCCTACTATTTTGGGGGGTTCATTACTTCGTGGTGCTTTACTGTAACTTTAGATCTTTAGCCTTTTTGGGCTTGTTGGGTTTCTCAACAAGGCAGCTAAAATTTTGTTTATAGCTACCCTCCTAAGTGCAGCCAAGATTATGGGGGTACCTTTTTTTCGTAAACTCCCAAGTACGTTCCAGGCTCCCCCAGCCCTCGCCAGCGACCGATAAGGCC